GCTTCGGTCCAGCAGGACTGGACGGCCGCCAGCGATCAGGGCGCAGGAGGAGCAAGACCCAGAAGTCCGACCTCGAGATGGGGTTCAAAACGTGGCCCCGAGAGCTCTGGACTCTTTCCCTGGGACCGGCTTTTCATCTCGACTCTCAGGAGGGAAAGAAACACACAGACACAATTAATCGTCGAGTCCCAGGAAAAATGGGGAAAATATGGGAATTGGGCGGGAAGACAAAAACCCAGAAAATATAGAAACAGTTGGGGAATCATTTTACTCGTGTGTATTTATTTGTGTGTCCCAGGGCCCCATTTAGACTCGTCCTCCGACGGTCCTGGGGCCTGGCATGGGCCCCGGACGCAGAACATAACCAACAGCTGGCCACCGCTTATGTATATATATATATATATCACGACGCGACGAGGTCAGGCAGGGCTGCCCACGATCCGATTCGATGATTCGATTCGCGGGTTGGGGCCGCGGCTCCGATCCGATCCGCTTCGGCTTCCTTCACTGGCACCGGCCTGGGCCAGGGCCGAGCTGGGCGCGGCGCGCCGATCTCCATCCAGTTCGGGACGCTTCGCAGGAAAGGAACAAACACACAGACACACAATTCATCGCCGATTCCCAGGAAAGGATGGGAAAATATGGGAAGTGGGGGGGAAGGCAAAAGCCCCGAATATATATGAAAGTATGGGGAATCCTGTTATTTGTGTGTATTTATTTGTGTGTCCCAGGGCCCCTTCAGATTCGCTGGTGACCCGATCCCTTTTATGATCCGATCCACTTTCGCGATCTGAGCTAGCTCGGGCCTGCCAGGGGGGGCCGCTGCCAAGGCTTCGCCAAAGGCGTCTCCGCCTCGACGCACGCCGTCCCCGAGGACACGCGCCGCTTCTGCGTGGCACCGGCCGCGCCCGACGCGCGGTGCCTGACGGTCTACACGTGCGGCACGCAGGAGCTCCGCGCCCACCGCCGCCGACGTCGCCGCTTCAGCCGCCGCCCCCGCAGCCGCCGCCGTTGGCGCCGCTTCAGCCGGCGCCGCCGTCCTTGCGGCCGCTGCTCCCGCCGCCTCAGCTGCGGCCTCTCTGGGCCGACTTGGGGCCCTCTTGGGGGTGCTCCAGGGCCGTCGAAGAGGCCACCTTGGGCGTCTTGGTTCTTGGGGCCGTCTATAGGGGCCCTCTCGGGGCCGCCTTGGGGCCTCTGGGGGCCGTTCTGGGGCCGTCTTGGGGGCCTCTTGGGCGCCGCCGTCGTCGTCGCCGCCGCGGCCGTTGGCCGCCGTCGCTGCCGCCGCAGCCGCCGCGGCGAGCGGCCGCCGTGGCGCCCGCGAGGAGATCCGCGTCCACGGCCTCGCCGGCGGCGCGCTGTCGCCGCTCGACGCCGCCGAGCTGCCGGTCTTCGCGGGGAGCGGGGCCGCCTGCGCGGAGGACGGCGCGGAGGGCCCGCAGAGACGCCAGCCCAGATGATGCGCTACCGAAGATTTTCGGTAGCGAGTTTGCATGATGGGGAGCGACCGAAAATCAAAACGAGTGGTCCAATCCCGGTATTGCAAGACGAAGTGCGCGTGATGCCGATACTGGGATTCAGATTCGGGATCTCGGTATTTCGCGACCGATTATTCGGCATGTTCGCTCCCGAAAACCGACGACGCGAGCGTCCTCCAATCCCGGTATTTCACGACCGATTCTTGCGCCCCTCGATCGTGTGTAAATCGCGCTTCGAACACACATGCGCGTCAAACGTTTGCTTGCCAATCGCTGCAAACGTTTGCTGCGCACGTGTGCTTGTAGGTGTAAACGACTAACCCAGGAACTGAACCATTAACCAAACTACACTAGATTCCGAAACTACTTACATAAAGTACCCACTGCACTCAGCTAAGCTACTGACTACTTACTAAACTATTACTAGCAGCACTGCGCATGCATATTCTAAACTATTAACCTACGGCTGCGACTTCAATTCGGCCGCGGCTTCAATGCACAACCCGCCTTACTAACTAGCCACCACCACCCCCACCATCACAACCATCGCCATGATCATCGGCATCGGCAGACACACCAGCGTCACCATCATCTGCGTCAACATCGGTATCATCGTGGGCGCCATCGTAAGATCAGTACTGCCACCATCACCACCTGAGCCATCGCCACCACGATCACTACCACACTCACACCAGGCACAATAATGTCGTTGTAGTGGTGCACGTGCAAAGTTCAGTGATGACCGTGTGCATTCTAGTTCGCTGTGTTGGGCCTCCGACGTGCAACTTCTTGGGAGTTTTCAGGACGCCTCTTAGAGCACCCTAGGGGCCATCTCGAAGGATGATTGGCTGCCCCATCCATCTCCTCCGCCTCGTCCACCCACCCTCCTCCATGACTGGGCAGCATGGTTGTGCTTGGGCATATTGTCTAAGTTGTGCCAGTTTTTTTGGGGGGTGGCGGTGGTTTGTGTTGTCGTGATCTTTGATGGGTGCCGCATGTTGTGTAGCATGGTTGCAAGCACTGTTTGGGGCAGCGCGATGAGATTACACGTATGGCATATGGGGCATACATAGGCGCCGCTGGGGCCGTAGGGGCCACTGCGGACTGCGCCGTCCGCAACCATGCGGACGGCGCCGCTGGGGCCGTAGGTGGAGCTCCCTTTGGGGTCACGAACCGTGTGAGGGGTGTGTCAAATTAGGGCGGCGCCGCCGTGCGGACGGCGCCACTGGTGCCTTTGGTGGGGCTCCCTATGGGGCCACGGCACGTGTGAAAGGGTGTGCCAAAATGGCCGTCGATGATGGTGACGATAACGGCGATAATGGCGATGACGATGATGATGATGATGATGATGATGATGATGATGATGATGATGATGAAGGTGATGGCGACGGCCATGATGATGTTGATGATGCTGATGCTGACGGCGGTGACGATGACGATGGTGAGTGATGGTGGTGGGTCGGTGGGGAATGCTGACGATTTTGATTGGTGGTGATCTTCATCATTGTAGCGCTTCGCTGTGCAAGTATCGTGCTCACCAGTATCAGGTTCACAATCGTATTCGTCAGCGTATCATCATCAACATCATCATCAGCAGCAACATCATCATATAAATCGCCTTTGCAGCATGTACGATTTCTATTATCATTGCCACATTCGTTACTGCACGTCACAGCCATCATTTGAAATTCCATGTTATCCACCATCATGGCCCATAGCGTCAACCATCAGTCACTGGCATCATCAACATCATCCTCCTATACAGTGTGCTCCTCCTCTGGCTGATCATCCTCATCCACGTGGTGCTCGCCCTCCTGCTGAGAATCCTACATCCTCCTTTTTCTCCCTCCTCTACCATATCTGATTTCCGTTCTACCATTCCTCGTAATATTGATTATGAGCAGCCCTTTATCCAGTTCAAGCTTCGGTTTGTAAGGACCCGAGGAAGTCTCCAGCGGGATCCCCGAGTCCGAGGGGCCCAACGCGGTCCCGAGAGGGCCCAAACAGGGCATCAAATGTGCGAAGGGGTGCGCCAACGTGGGGCGGCGCCGTCATGCGGACGGCGCTACTGGGACCTTGGGTGGCGCTCCCTATAGGGCCACGAAACGTGAGTGGTGTGCTACGACACGTGAGTGGCGCTCGCCGTCATGCGGACGGCGCTACTGGGACCTTGGGTGGCGCGCCCTATAGGGCCACGAAACGTGAGTGGTGTGCTACGAAACGTGAGTGGCGCTCCCTATAGGTGCCACGAAAGCGCAGCCGTCGCGCCAATCCTGCTGCCCTCCTCCTCACCCTTGTTTTTGGGCTGCAAGCTCGCGGCGGTAGCCACGCGCAGCGCGGCCGCGATGGAGCAGCAGCCTCTCGTGGAGGAGCAGCCCAGGCGCGATGGAGCGGCGCGCCCCGCGGCGCCGTCGCCACCTGCAGGTCCGCCCCCAGCCCACTTGCTGGCGGACCGTGTGCCCGAACCGCCAGCGGCGCGCCCCACCGCGCCGTCGCCACCAGCAGGTCCGCCCCCGAGCCACCTGCTGGCGGACAGTGCGGCCGAACCGCCAGCGGCGTGCCCCGCAGGGCCGTCGCCGCCTGCAGGTCCGCCCCCAGCCCACCTGCTGGCGAGGCGTGATGCCGAACCGCCAGCGGGGCCGTCGCCGCCTGCAGGTCCGCCCCCAGCCCACCTGCTGGCGTTGCTTGATGCCGAACCGCCAGCGGCGCGCCCCACAACGCCGTCGCCGCCTGCAGGTCCGCCCCCAGAACACTTGCTGGCGGACAGTGCGGCTGGACAGCCAGCGGCGCGCCCCGCCGCGCCGTCGCCACTTCCGCCCCCAGCCCGCTTGCGCTTGCTGGGGGGCGACGCTTTCGAGGCGTCCGACGTCTTCGATGCAGAGACGTTGCAGGCGGCCGTCGACGCGGCGTGGCGCTCCTGGGCCCGCGCCCGCACCCAGTGGGAGGATGCCGTGTCGGTCCTCGCGGCCGCCGTGGCGGCGCGCGACGCAGCGGAGGCGCGGGCCCGTGCTCGGGCCCAGGCGCCCGTGGATGGGCGGGCGCATTACCACTTGCGCGCGCGCCGATCATCAGCCCAGGACGCGTTCGCAGGCGCGCCCTGGGCTGAAGATCGGCGCGCCCGCGCGGGCGATTCTGCGCCCACCCCAGCGGGCCGAGGCTGACCAGCAGTTCTGCAGCCGCAGCCGCAGCCCTGCAGGTCGAGATCGCTGAGACGCCCGTGCCCGAGGCCCCGCATGGGGTAAATGGGGGGGGCGGAGGAGGTCCCCCCCCCCTCTCCCCCCCTCTTTCCTTCCCCCCATCCGTGCTCCGCCCTCCTGTCTTGCAGCGCCCTTGCGGGCCCCATCGGGGCTATCTGGGCGCCTCCGCGGGGCGTCGGCGCTCGGGGGCAATGGTGTCGCGAGGGGCCCCCAGAGGGCCCCGACCTCCGCCGTAATCATCACCATCATCCGCATCAACGTCCGCATTCTCAGCATCGCCCCAACAATCATCATCACCATCATCACCACCATCATCAGCACCATCATTCTCGTCGTCATCGTGGCCGTCACCTCAACCGTTCGCACTGATGATGATGATGCTGCTGATGATGAGAAGGATGATCATGATCATGATGATGATGAGGAGGATGATGAGGATGATGAGGATGATGATGGTGATGATGATGATGGCGATGATGACGATGAGGATGATGATGGCGATGGCGATGAAGATGGAGGGGTGAGGGGAGGAGTGGAAACAGGGAGGAGGGGGAGAAGGAAGAATTTAGGAGTGAGTGAGCACGACAAGTATGTTCCCAGCTGCTCTCATTATCTTACTCGCGCTCCCCCCCCCCCCGCTACTCTTGCACCCAGTGGTGCGTCCACTCCTGCTCCATGCGATACCCCAACCTCCATTACCCCACTTCATTCTAAACTCCGTTTCCAGTGCGCATTATTATCTTCTCCCACTCCCGCTCTCAATGCTGGGAGTTCCGTTCCCACTATCGCCAGAAGGAGTGGGGGCCAGAATCAGAAGTATGGTCACCCCTGATCAGGGTTGAGCATGCTTCTGATTCTGACTCCCACTCTTTCTGGTGAGAGCGCGCGCACACGCAGCGCATTTGGCTGAGTTCCAGCATTTCTGGCACCATGAGTGCCCCACCTGTCCGTCGCCCTGTTCCGGCCGTCAATGCGGCCGACCTCTCCAAGGCTTTCGTGAGCTACGTGGAGGAAGTTGGCTCGAAGAAATCGTTCGTTTTAGGGCACTACGAGTTTTTGAGGCGGGACTGCGCGGTGCATGCGCGGTCCTTGCACCAGATGGCCGAGCTGGCGGCTGGAACGCAGAAATGCGGGGCGGAGGGGAAGAGGTGAAGGGAAACGACAATGCGTTGGAGGATGGAATCTGGGAAAGACGAGGGATGGCGATGATGCGCACGAGGATTTATCGGAGAAGGAATGAGAGGATGAGAAGGAGGTGGAGGAGGAGGAGGAGGAGGAGGAGGAGGGAATACAGGATGGTGGCGATGAGGAGGAGGGCACCTAGGATAACGACGAAGTGGGTGATAGCAAGGAGAAGGTGAGGATCGACAGGAAGGAGCAGGAAGAATTGGAGCTGCAGGTGGAGGTCTTGCTCAAGAACGTTCCCGAGGTCGACGCCACGTTCTCCGTGCTCCGCACAGCCTGCCACGCTGCGATCGCGGCGTGCCTCGGGTGTAGAAAACGACTTCGGGTTAGCGCGCGGGGGCGGTGGTGTCAGAGGGGGACTGGACTCGGCGATGAAGGGATGGAGGAGGAAGCTCGGGGGTGGGAATTGAGAGGGTGGGAGGTGGGAGAGGATGGGAGGAGGGGGGCAGGAAGATGGCCATAGTACAAAGGGAAATGCGGAGAGTCAGGGTTGCGAGGAGGATCAGAGCAAGTGTGACGATAATGATAATGAGGAGGAGGAGGATAATGAGGATGCGGATG